GGCGGTGGTGGCAGACCGCGACTACGGTGAGCAGGGCAACCAGGGAGACTGGGGCGGCCAAAGAGGCGGTGGTGGCAGACGCGACTACGGTGAGCAGGGCAACCAGGGAGACTGGGGCGGTCAAAGAGGCGGTGGTGGCAGACGCGACTACGGTGAGCAGGGGAACCAGGGAGACTACGGCGGCCGTGGGGACGATGCCGGTGGTTTTAGTCGTGGGGGGTATTCACGAGGTGGGAATTTATTCCCTGAGGGCCGTGCTCAAGATGGGCGTGGTGCTGAAGAGATGCCAATGGAGGGCCCGTTTGATGTGCAGGCTGCCAAGAAACTCTTTGAGTTAAAGCGCCAGTACAAAAATGCCAAGTCTGGAAAGGACAGACGCGACATTCAACGGGAAGCCCGTCGTGCAATTCGTCGTGCACGTGTGGATCCCTCGACACAGGATGAAAAGGCGGTGACATTGCTTCTCAATTGCGCGGCATCTTTCCGTAGTTATCCTCATTCAGAGGGTATCAAGCAAGCCGTCCAATGGATGCGCCAGAATATTGATGCTCTGTCTCCACAGAATTTGGCTCTTTTTGCTAATGCACTTGGTGCACTCTCGGTGGTAGATCATGATATCATCTTGTTGCAGGAGGTGTCTCCAGCTGTGCAGTCTGTCTTTACACAGATGAGTCCTGTGGAGTTGGTGATGATCCTGCAGGCGTTTCAGCGGGGTAGGGTGTTTTCCAACGCTTCGTTGCAGGAGTCCATGCTACAGCAATTGTCGCCCTGTGTTCCACAGATGCCTGTGCCACAACTCTCTACATTGGCTGGGGTTTTGGTGAGCGCTCCTCTCCGCAAGAGCGATGAGGCAGCGTGGCGGGAGCTAACCAACGCTGTTTTATCCAAGGCTGTCTCTGGTGTCGATAAGATGCATTCTCGCGAAGCCATCACATTACTAAAGGCCGCACCACGTTTGTGTGTCCCTGAGGAACAAAGTCTCCAACTCGTGCAACGCGCTATAGACACGGTGGGCTTTCATACAGACGAACAAATTGGAGAACTGCTTGAGGCTGTGGCGGGCTTCCGCACTTTGGAGACGCCGCCTGGGGAAAACCTCAGTCGCAAGCTTGATGAATTGGTTAATGTGCTCTGGACGCGCCTAGAAAAGGTGGCTCCATACGTCGACGCTGCAAGCGCGACATGGATCATGCGCCAGGCTAGTCGCTTCGGGGCAGCCGTGCCTCTTCCTATTATGGAGGCCATGCTGGGAGCGGTGGCGAAAGACATACGCTACCATCGCCACACGTTCCGCCGCTGCGCGGCCCTAGCCGAAGCTTTGGCGGAGCAGAAGGCCCCAGCTAAGGCGCTGCTGCTGCAGCTTGGTGATTACTGCATTGGCAAGCGTCCTCCACGCGAGGATCGTGAGGAGGCTGATCCGCTCGACGAGGAGGCGGCGGCGACGACAACGACGAGGGAGGTTCGGATGGACATCTACGCCCGCTTTCTTGGAGAATTGACGAGGGCGCGCATTTCACTAGAAAAGGCGCACAGCGCAAACCTCGAAAATGGGGAGCCTGGGGAGAGCGTGAGGGCGGTTCTCTCCCAGCGGCTGGAGGAGAGCGTCTCCGCGGCATCACCACGTGAGGTTTTGAAGTGCGTCCGGGCCATTTGCACCTCAGAGGACTCCCAGTTGCGCAATCGCGCGAACGATGCGAAGCTCATGGCGTTGGTGGAGCGCCGCCTCTCCAGTGAACGTGAGAACTTCGCGAAGGACGTCCCGAAGGAGATTCTGGAGGGGTTCCTTAGCGCCCTGAGGGACAAGCCTCGCGCGCAAAAAGTCGTCCTCGCCTGCTCCGTATGAGAGGCGCTGATGGGCGCCACGAAAATACTTTCGCCTACCTCCGACAAGGCAAAAAAAAAAAAAACGGCTTGAGGCCATCAGAAAAACATTTATTATTCATATATATATATAAATACATGCATATGTGTGCGTCTGCTCACATGTAGGCAAGAGAGAGAGAGAGAGAACAAAAAACAAATAAATTAACAGCAAATGCGCCTTCCAAAAGGTGCGGTCCAAGCCCATCACAGATGCAGAAAGAGGGGTGGGTTAGACAGTGGAGTGAAGTTATTGGCCTTACAGAGGCGATTCACATTAGGAATCAATGGAGGGGAATCTGACGCTCCCTCTTTGCATTTTATCTTGTTTAACGAAGGGAACAAAGGGTGAAGGAAAAGATCGTTTTCTTCAGTGCTTCTCATATATATCTTTTCATTGTGAATGAAATCAAATCTTGTTGCGGAGAGATTTTCTTTCCGTTGCTGACCCTTACAGTAGTGCCTACAAATGATGTTTGCAGTCCCACTGCAATTTATTCTGAAAGAGACAAATAAACACAAACGCACACACACAAACATACATACACAAAGGAGTTTTTTATTTTATTTTTGCCCTATTGCTGTTTGTCTGTAGGGAGGCGAATGTCTGGCCTATGGAGTTTTCGGGATACGGCTGCTCCCCTACCTTACCTGAGCGATGCCGCAAGGGCGTCTCTCCCTACTGCTGTTATTGATGATTCCAAGGATGACATGGCTGCGGAGGTAAGTGATACTTCAATAGAGGACCCAGTGAGGGTTTTTGGTGCAGCAGCTGATGTGGATGGAGCTGTTCGGGAGGTGCAGAATGCGTGGCTTGAGCGCCTTTTGGGCCATGAGCAGACGCCCCTGTATCGCCTGCGGTTTCCTCACCAGGAGGCGTCGGGCGTGGCAATTGAGCCACCTGAAACGCGCGATTCCGCATTATACGGAAGAGAACTCCTGTCTCCCGAGGAAATGGTTATCGTGAAAAGTGTGCTGAGAATGCAGGGAACTGGCAAAGAAGCGAAGGCCAACAGTCGTGGACGGCGACGATGCTCCAACGCACCCACAACGCCCGTGCTGCATGCTGCAGCGTTGGCGTCGCAGCGAAAAGGACGGCAAAACCTCAGGGGGGCAAATGCTGCTTTTGGCACTGGAGTGCTGGCACAAAAGCCAATTAACCGTGCAAGTGACGCGCACACACAAAAAAGGGAGAGGTTGCTTCACAGGGATTGCAGTGCTAAGCACACGCCAAGAATCACGAGACATGCTCCCGAGAATCTGACTTGTGACTTTGTAGAGCGCATGGAAAGGCGAGCTGCCCAGCGACGGCTAGCTCGGTCGGCACTGGGCACTTCAAGGTTGCTTGACAGGGCGACTAGTAACGCTTCCATCACGCAAAATCCACCGGCGGAGGGGGCAAAGAAGGCTCGACCAACTTTGCGGTACGATGCATTACCGTTGGAGCTCCAAGTTAGTCTGATATCGCTCGAGACGCCCCAAAGCAATGGCAGTGGATTGGACCGCGATTGCCAATATGAAGCTGTTGCACTTCGGTGGAGTTCTGCCCATCTAAGGAAAAAGGCCTGGAGGTGCTGGTGTAATAGTCAGCGTATTCGGGCCCACAGGCGTGTGAATCAAGTGAGCACGGCCGTGACCAACATTGCTCCTGCTGCATCCCCGTGGCCTCAGGATGGCGGCGGACCAACTCCCGGATCACTGCACCACGCAGAGCTTTTGACGGCTGACAAAAAGAAAATGCAACTTCTTCGGTGGTATTTTGTTCTTTGGGTTGCATTCCTGGAAAAGGCAGGAGGTGGCCGCTTACCTCCGGACGGGATTACAGGGCTTCTGTAAATTCGCAGAGGCGACGCCCGATTAGGACACCCTCTTTCCTCTTTCTTTTTCCTCTCCCGCACATTTTATCTCATGACTATTGGTCTTACTTAGTGAGAAACCGCGTTTCTTACGCACCTTTTCTGATGAAGGCTCGTACATAGTATACCGCGTGTGCCTGTGGTCCCTTTTTCTTCCCAGCTTTTGCTCATAACGAGCGTCGCAGCGAAGTCAACACCGAGACAGCAAGTAAAAGGAAAAGGGAGTAATAAAAAAGGAAAAACAAAAACAAAAAAAAAGGAGCAGAAAGGCGTCACTTTCTGTGCCTGCTGCGTGATCGGCGGGTAAAGTTTGTTATTGTTGTTATTATTATTTTTTTTATTTTGTGTTGTCAAAGGGCAATAGAACCAGCGGGGTATAACTTACGCGCACTGCTACCCACGACAACAGTAGAAAGCTAAACCCAACGAATAACAGGGTAGATGTCAGCGGAGCACGCAGGGTACCTTCAGAAGACTGGTGGGAGATTTTACAAGAAAAACCAGACCCGCTATTTCGAGCTCCGCGGCCCTAACTTATACTACTGGAAGCGCCGTCCCTCAACGCATGACTCGCCTCCAATGGGCAGCATCAACCTCGCCGATGCCCGGCTCATTGAAGATGCGAAGGACCCTAGATCATGGACAATCGATGGGGCAAATATCCCCAAAACGTTCACGCTAATTGCCTGCTCGGAGGGTCAGAAGAAGGAGTGGATAGAGAAGATGTCAAATGTAAGCCTGGCGAATCAAGAGCGACTCAAGTCGGCAACTCACAGCAGTGATGAGGATGAGGCAATTACTTTGTATTCCGGGCGGAGCCGCAAAGTATCTCTGGATGACTTTGAGCTGGATGCTACTATCGGAGCTGGTTCCTTTAGTAACGTGTTTGTGGCCCGCGAGAAAAGCACTGGCAAAGTGTATGCAATAAAAGAAATGAGGAAAGAGCTCATTCAACAACAAAAAATGGCTGGAAATATAGCTGCAGAGAAACATATTCTTCAGACGATCAGTCACCCTTTTATTGTATCACTCCATTACGCCTTTCAGACGAAGAAATGTTTGTACCTTGTGCTTGACTTTCTACCTGGCGGAGAGCTATTCTTTCACCTTGCCAAGGAGAAAGTGTTTGACGAGTACAGGGCCAAGTTGTACTGTGGGGAGATAGCTCTGGCGATTGGCTACCTACACAGTCTTGACATCGTCTTTCGTGATCTTAAGCCGGAAAACATTGTGCTGGACAAAGACGGTCATGCATGCCTCACAGACTTTGGATTGGCAAAGATGAATGTCAGCAGTGCCAACAATTTCACGTTCTGTGGCACCTCCGAATACATAGCTCCTGAGTTTCTCCTGGGACAACCGCATGGGCGGGCGGTGGATTGGTGGGCGCTGGGTATTCTACTCTATGAGATGATAGAGGGCATTCCACCCTTTTTCAGTGAAAATTCCAACGATATGTATGAGGAGATTCTCAAGGGCGACCTAAAGTTTGGTACCGACGGTGACAACGAAAGTGGTCTGCCTGCGATTTCGGAAAATGCAAAGGCCCTCCTCCGCAGGCTTTTGGATCGTAACCCCGATTCACGTCTGCAGGATTTGGAGGAGTTCAAGAAACAACCCTTCTTTGATGACATTGATTGGGAGAAGCTCAGCCGACGGGAAATTGAGCCGCCATTCCGCCCTAGCAGTAACATCTTTTGCAACTTTGACGAAGACTTTACGTCTAAGAAGCCTCGGGCGCTTTGTCAAGAGGAGGATGGAGGGGAACCGACCAACATTGCCGGTTTCACGTTTGATGGGAAATTGGGGACCGCTTAGACGCCTCATTGTTCGAAGAACTTTATATACATATATATGTCTTTTTCTTGTCTTTTTGCAGTAGTGTGATTTCCGTAGGATCGGGAACATGTGTGTGTGTGTCTTTGCCTAATAACTGGTGGTAGGGGCTGGTAGCTGGGCGTGAGACGAACTTGCCAAATGAGAAGATTGGTCGAGAAAGTAAAAGGGAGGGACCGCGGAAGAAATGCATAGATGCAGCACACATGCGCACTCATTTCATTTGGACTGTTGCTTGTGCACGCACCGTGGCACCTAGATACATATGGGTCTTCCCTCCACTCTTACCACCAACATCGGTGGCAGCAGCAGCAGCAGCAGCACCCAAACCAACAACAAAGCAAGTAAGAAGAAGAAGAAAAGAATTGAAATTGAAGTTTTCATCGCTCTGACACACGTGCTGCTTGATGCTCTGGTTCACCTTTCTTTAGTTTCTCTCTCTTCACTGGGCGGATTGAAGGCCGCATTCTCCGGTTGCGTATTTTCTCTCCTTCTCTCCTTCCTTCCTTTCTTCCCTTTCCATGTGTGTGGCTGTGTCTGTGTAGGTAGTTTCACGCCTCCGTCTCCTATGCGTTTGGCGTGACCCTCGTTCTGTGGAGTGCATTACCCAAAGCGGAGGCGCTATGGGACACTGGCGGTAAGAGTGATTGAGGACCGCCGGCCACAATAAGCAAAACAAAGTAGCGAGTTAGCACCGCGTGAATGAGGAACGGCAACAACTGCGGCAAACACACATATACAAGTAATCATAAAGGTGAATCCTTTGATCTCCTGTGACGCGCGGTTTCGGGAAAAGGCACTGGTGGCAGTGTGTGGTGTTGTCCTTGTGCGTCTGCACATCCATAACAGCAAGCGCGGTTCCCTCCCTTCTTCTCCTTCTGCAAGCCACATCTCTTAACTCTACGACCATTGTTTGGGGTTCCTGTAACTTCAGTCATACGCGTGGGGATTCGGCTACTTTGAGCTGCGCGCCAGTGGACGTCGTTTTAGTGTCCAAATAACTTGCAATGACCGTGTTTATTCCTTTCTTTATCTGGCCCGGGCGAAGTGCCCGCGCCTGTGCGCCAATTATGGCTGGGCGTGACGCATCTCTACGTATGCCATCTATACAAGTTGATACCTCTGCACGCGGCTGCCGTCGAATGCATTTATATATATTTTTTCGTTGCTGACGCTTCCGCTTTTCCTCCCTTCACTTCTTGGCCCACTCATCTTTGCATCGTTTGGGTGTTTCTACTTTTTGTGGGCAGGGGAGTATATTGATAGGTAGCGTGCGTAGAGACGAAAAAGGGGTGAAATTAACGGAGAGGCAACATACACACACACACACACCCAAAACAGGGGGAAAAGAAAAGAAATAGAAATACAAAATATAAGTTTAAATACATAGGTGACATTTATCCTAAGTTGCTCATGCGCAGACCTGCGGCGCTACTAATTATTGCTGGGGTGCTTTTGGCGCTTCTCATTGCTCCCTCCGGCGCATTTTCTGCTCATGCTCAGGAGTCCCTGAGCATTGCGGGAAGCGTTTCGGTGCCGGCAAATGCAAGCCAGTACGTGGATGTGCAGGTGATAGATGGATCCAGTGGGGCCGTCTTTCGCTATCAGCAGTTGGACGCCACGCACAGCTTTGCTTTCGCCGGCATTCCACTGACGGCCACTGAGGTTCGTCTTTTTCTGCGGCTTCCGGAGCGGCGATTTCGTCTAGATTCTGCCGCGTCTTCCCTCTCAGTCCGCATCCCAAAGGCCGCTAGCGGCGCTGACCCTGCGTGGCTGCACCTGACTGCAGCAGTGGAGGAAGTTAGTAGTGCCGCGCCAGAGGGGCTCCCGCAGGGAGGGAGCGTGCTGACTGCCGTCACCACGGTAGTAGGATTGGCCGTCGTGGCTCTGGGGCGGCACCGGCTGCTGTCGCTGCTTCAACTGCCAAACCTAAAGGTGCCAAAGCCACGCAAGTTAATTATGACGTCAAGCAGGTAAAGACCAGAACCAAGGAGCAACGATTGGGCACACATTTGTCGAAAAGTGAAAGTCAAACAAAGAAAACTAATAATGAAAGGTGGAAAAAAAAACATAAAAAACGGATGACGAAGGCGGAAGGTCGTTTAGTTGTTGTAGGTTGTAGGTTGTGTGTGTGTGTGTGTGTGCAGGTGTTCGAGTTTTTATTATGTTTTTTCCTCGGCTTTTCTGCTGCCAAAACCTCTTTTACAATTTTTCTTCTCTTGCGCTTTACTTTCCTTCGTTGGCGTGTAGATGGTGGCGGTGTTTGGCTTTCGGTCTCTCGGATGAGTTTGAGTTAACACACGCCCCGGCGGAAAATCAAGGGCGAGAGGAACACATTACGGGTGTAGGTCGGCGGGGCTGTCGTATGAGTAGCACCGACGTGACCGGTACGGAAAATACGGCGGTAAATGTCGCTCTTTCCACAACGGTGGTTTACGGCCTGCTGTTGTTTACCGGTTCCTTTATTTTCTTTATGAGGCGTGGTAGAAGTAGCTTCTGCGGACGCAGTGTCGGTGTATCTGTATGCTTACTCTCGGCGTTCGCCGTCATGCCGACAGTAATGGCTCTGGGCATCGCAGGAGCTTGGATATGCGCCGTTTACGGGTCCCTCGGAGGGGCGATGGCGTTTCTCATCACACCGGGGATGATTCTCTTCCTGTTATTATTGGCATGCTGTGCCGCGGCCTCTTCAAGCATTGAGGAGAGTGGTGGAACGCTCGACCTTGACCGGTTGTAGCATCGTCAGGCACCCTCTTTGCAACGCGTGCCTAGGGGAGGCTGGAGTCAGCGCGGGGCCCACGTGATTGTGTTGCTCTGCTTACTGGATCTATATCGGAGGGGCAGGCGTAGGTGCCCTTCTTCTTGATGTGGAGTAGCAAGGGGGGCGGGCCTGGGGAAGAGTGCATGCAAGATGCGGGTGTAAACGGAGCTGGAGAGGCGGTTTGGCAGAGAGAAGTAAGAGGAAAGGATGGAAGGAAAGCTACTGAGCTCACGACTTCTTTTTTTTTGTGCAATGGCTACTACGCGCTGTATAATAGCTACTTATCTTATGGCCGTTTTATGCATCTCAGAAAGTTCTCTTTTTGTGTGTGTCTGTGTGTGTGTGTGTTTCTTTGGGGACGTGAAGCCGCTTTAACGGCCCAACACGCTCTAATGTCACTTGCCTTTTCTCCTTTCGCCGACTGCTTCCCTCGCGTTACTTCTTCCATCCGCTTTTTTTTTTGCCTCGATCTATCTGTGTGCGCGTGCGTGTCCGTCGTCTTTCTTACCCAGTGCCGGTTCGTTGTCGACCACGCGGCGAGGTTTGCGAGCACCCCTCTTTGTCACCTTGGCAATGCCGGGAGTCTCCAAAAAAGTCTCCAAGACGACCCCGCGTCCCATTCCTGGCCGTGACACGGACGGGCACACGTACAAGTCTGCCGAGGACATGTGGGCCCGCGAATTGCGTGGGGACCTGTACGACGCTGAAACAGGGTGGTACGGCAAGTCTTTGCAGTATTGGTCAAAAGTGCCGACGACTGTAAGTGGTGTGCTGGGGGGCATGGAACACATTCATGATGTGGATCTCAAGGAGTCGCGGGAGTTTATAACTTCCCTGCCCGACCGTGGCACTGCACATGCGTTGGATTGCGGTGCCGGTATTGGTCGCATCACGAAATGCTTACTCTGCTCCTTGTACGCGGTTACCGATCTCTTGGAGCCGGTGCCAAGCATGCTTGAGAAGGCCAAGGAAGAGCTCAAGGGGTATCCAGTGGGGGAATTTTTTCTTTCTTCCATGGAAACAGTCCAGCTAAAGCCAAACACATATGATCTGATAGTTATTCAGTGGACAGCAATTTACCTAACGGACGATGATTTTGTTAATTTTTTGGCGCACTGTAAAACCGCACTTACGTCTAAGGGGTATATTTTCTTCAAGGAAAACTGCTCCTCTGATGACCAATTTGTCGTTGACAAGGAGGACAGTAGTTTGACAAGATCTGATGCGCATTACAAGCGGATCTTCGCCGCGGCGGGGGTAAAGGCTGTGAAGGAGACGAGGCAGAAGGACTGGCCAGAGGACCTATTCAAGGTGAAGATGTACGCTCTGCGTTAAGCCACAACCTTTGCTATGTGGCTTGCCGTGACGCTGCGTTTTTGCCGAGTGGAAAAGAACGGGGTTTGTCTGTGTGCGTGTGAGACTGTCTTCGTCTAGAGCACCGGCGCCTGTTAATAAAATACAGCTAACTGTTCTTTCACTGCTACGCGCACCTTATTCGTTGCGCTCGTATATATGTAGAGGCTTTTACAGCAATTGATATATATATATATATATTGCGCCTTCTGCAGCGTGCTTCCCCCCTTTTTTTTTCACTTCATTTATTCTTTCTTTTTTGTTTTGTTTTAAATTTCGTTTCTCAGGTATTTGCCTTTAAACTTTGCCGCATGATGTTCGAAAAATTGCCCCTGGCGCCGTACATCGACACGAGCACGGTCCTGCAGGACACTGTGGAGAATGTACTGGCGAGCTCCCACAGTCTTCTAAACACCACGCGGCGCCTCAGCGACGCTGGGGTCAATGACGCCTCTTTTCTGGAGGATGAGTCCTTCGCCGGACAGCTGCCCCGCGCGGCCCACAGAGGTTCCGTGTCCGAGAGCTTTGGCGCCACCATCGGCATCTTTCAAAGTCAGCTTGAAGAGTGCCGCGATGTCCTGCGCATGGTTGACAGCGAACGCCGCTTCTACCGCGAGAAGGCGCTGGAAATGCAAAACACGCTGGGGGAGGAGAGCAAAGAGGTAAAGCACTTGCGCTTGCAAATCGCCGAGTCACAGCGAGAACTTCGCAAGGCCCAACGGAGTGCCATGGGGGCCCAAAAAAAGATGCGTGAAATGGAGGCGGCCCTGGCGAGCGCCACGGAGGAGCAAATGCATCTGCGCCGCTACTTACGTGCAATGCCGCGGGACCAGGAGGAACTCCTCCTGTTGGTTCCGGATCGGCGGTTTGAGGAGGCCTTCCGCGACAAGATGTGCGCGATAAAGTACAAGCGTCTCTACAATCGCGCGCGAGAGTTGCACGAACAAGGATCGGAGCGCATGGAACGGAGTCGAATGGCAATGGAGGACAATTTCTTGGAGAAACCCACGTTGGAGGATTTGGCAGCTAGCCTCGGCAGCACCCAGCTTTCCGAATCTCTCATGTTTCTGAACATGTCTTCATTAGCTGGGGCTTCAAACAGTTTGTCGTCGTCGCAGCGCTTGTTCACCGGCGGGGCGAGGGAGCTTGTGAAATTTCCGTTTCAGCTTCCCTTTACCCATGTCACGCCAAGGGACGGCTACATCAAGACACAGATTCAACGATCGGCGTATGCAGAGCCGCTACGAAGATTCCGTGAGGGATTTGTTCGGTTGACTCATTTGCTCAAGCGAACACAGGACGTGGGGGTGCGCAACATGTATGCTGTGATGCTCGAGTCTTTGCGGACCGGTGTCGCTGCATCGTCGCCCATCCTCCCCGACCCCATGAAGGCCTTTGAGGCGGCAATTGAGAAAGTACAAGGCTCGCACCGTGACCTGTTGTACGAGCTGCTGGAACTGGCAAATTCCTCTGTGCTTATGTTGGTGGAGAATGAGGCCCAGGTTAACAAAAAACCGTCTCTTTCCAGACGTGACGTCGGGTGCGGTGAGTACCTTACTACTCCGCTGGATATGCGCATTGCTAGCCTTGAGACCCGACTTGAGACGCAGCGTCGCAAGAGTGCATCGGATGTAACGGGGGCCCTTCTCGGCAATTTCCAGGTGAAGACAAACTACACGGAGATGCGAAGAAAGACCAAGACAACATTACAACAGTTGCTGACCCTGCATGCTGCCTTGCAGCAAACTGTACAGGCTGTGCAGGCCCATTGCCTTCTGAATGAAGCGAAGCCGAACGATGTGTTTGCGGATCTTTTCATTGCCGCAAGTGATGCCGCGGTGGAGGACCCAAGGTATGAGACGAAAGTCGCTGAGGCTGTTGAAGCGGATCTGCAGCAGGCTGCCCAACTTGGTGACTCCCTGTTACAAGCCGCGAAACTTGCAACAGCCCCGGACAAAGAGAAGGGCAAACCGCGTAAAACCACGGGGGTGTCGCTGAGAAAGCGGCAGTTGGAGCGGCAGCAAGGCTCCCGGCCGGTTCCTTTTCCTCAGGGCAACGGCGTTGAATCTCGAAAGTCGATCGGCTCGTTGAATGAGACGCGCTCCGCCTCCTCCAAAAGGGGGTCAGTTTTGCCGCGAGGTTTCAGCGGCGCAGGCAGTTCAGACAACCCTGTCGTGGCACGTAACAGCGTGGCAGAGGCGAGGGACAGCGAGGCGCTGAAGGCGGCGACGAAACTTAGTCTGGGTGCCGCTGTGGGCCCGAACCCGGGCGGTCGCTCGAAGGGGGCTCCTGCGCCGCCGGTCTACAAAGCAAGGTCCTCTTTCTCCAAGCAAGACCGCCTGCCGGGCGCCCAGAATTTGGTGCAGCCTGGCCTCTCCAAAGTAAGCCTCCCGCAGTTCATGCTCAGCGAGGGTGAGCAGCAGTGACCACGACGAAGACCAAAAAAACCGGCAGACAAGCGGCGGGGCGGGGCGGGAGGGGTTTGCCTTCGCGGCGTGCACTGGCTCCTCCCGTTGCGTCGACAGATATGCAAGAAATGTAGACTGTACAATGCTGACTCGATGCAGACAAGGAAGAAAAGAGAAAGCGAAGAAAAATTAGAGCCAAACAAAATTAAAATAAGAATAGAGGAAGATAGTACTATAAGGGGAAGCAAGAAGGGAAAAACAAAAACAGGAGGGAGAAGCCGCACCTCTTGGTTGCACAGGCTTCACCACTCAAAGGTCGGAGCCGTCGCTGAGAAATCCTCTCTTGTTACTTGTAGTTCTTATATATCTATATATGTTTATGCTTTATTTCACTTGAGGGTTTCCCACTTGTAAATTATTGGGCCAGAGTACGCCGCTGGGGCTGAAGCCAAGGCTTGAAAGGGGATGGGGGGAAGTGTGCACCTCAAGTAGCGGCCGGAGAGATGGGAACCAAGCACCCACGCACCCTCGCAAACACGCACCCGCGAGCGGAGAGAGGATCTGGGACAAACTAACAGGGAGTGCTATATAACTGGCTACGTGCGTATATAGCGGTGCTAGTCATTACGTTGTGTCTGTTAATTTTTGTTTTCGCTCTCCTGCTGAATTCGAAAGACAATCACCACCTTCTTTTCGTCTCTTTCATTCATATCTTTTCTCCCTCACTTCACAGCGCCTTTCTAAATGCGGGTGGTATTTCCTCTTATTGTTATGGGACGTGTATCACTGATGTGTTTGTAGCTGCTATCTCCTGAAACGTTTTTTTTTTTTGCACTATGGGGGCTTAATATATACGAATCCGCGTATAGTCGTGTCATCGCCTATACTTCATTGTTGTAATTGTGTGCTTTGGCTGTTTTAGCCTTCGAGTGGCACCTACACTGTATCGGGGGGCAAGCGTGACTGAGGTGTCCAGCGCCTTTCTTCCCGTTCCCGTCTCCTGCGCACTGTGGCGACGGCTGTCTTCAACTCTGCCTTCTTTTTTCTGCCGTGCCTTTTCATTTTACTCCTCACCACCGGTGTGCGTGTGTGTCTTATCGTGTACACACGGGCGCATGTCTGCTGTGGCGGGGGATGCAGCGCGGCGGGAGGTAAGGCGACTAAAAGTAAGAACAGCAGCAGCAGCAGCAGCAGCAACAACAACCACAAAGGGAGGCTTTTGCACCACAAGGTGACGGCGATAAAAGCGGCAACATAAAATGGCTGCGCTTGTAGAGGCTGAGCGGATGGAAAAGGAGAAGGCGCTTGTGGAGGCGCAGCAGCGGGTCAATATGCTGAGGGAGACGGTGAGAGTAATGGCGAATCGTCAGGTGACGCTGATGGGCAATAAGCGACGCCTTGATATCTCCACGAAGGAGCTGACGCGCCTTTCCGCCGATCATCGCGTGTACGAAGGCGTTGGCCGCGTGTTTCTGCGCGCGCCTGTGAACACCCTCATAGAGAAGCAGACGGCGCAGGCTGAGAGCTGTGAGGCGGAGGAACGACGCCTCTCGAACGAGAAGCGCCGCGTGACCGAGCAGCTGCAGAAGGACGAGGCGCAGCTGCGCGAGGCAGCAGAGGCGTACGTGGCAGAGATGAACGCAAGACAGCGTCAACAGCAACAGCAGTAACCTCCGCGCTCCTTTCAGTAGGACGAAGGTTAAAAAGAAAAAAAAAGGGAAGAGAAGGGGAAAAGCAGAAAAACATACACAAAGGAAAAGCAAGAGAAGGGCTTTGACACCTAATCGAACTAAGAAAGAGTGGTTTCTTTTGGTTGTGTCATTACAGTCATACTGTCGTCATGTGCATCCCCTCTTGTTTTTCTCCTTCCCCGACTCCTCACACACAACTCTCCCCGCCCCCCATTATGCCCGTATGCCCTCTCCTTTATTTGTGATTTCCCATGCAGGGGAGGGGGACGGACCTCTCAGACACAAAACCACATATTTTTGTTCCCGCAAAGGCTCTTGAACAAAGGTGTGGGGGGACGAACCGAGTGAGGGCACGTACACAAAGAAAGAGAAAAGGAGAGAGGAAAGGGGATAAGCAGGCAGGAAACAACTCTAGCGCATAAGTTTATAATGCTGCATTGCAGTCGGCTTCTTGCTAAGAAACGACCCCCGCCTCTGGGTTACAGTCCCAGGGACTTTTCGAAGAAGTTGCACTCACCGCGGGCGTCAAAGCCGTGGCGCAACCGCCACGTTTTATCTGGTGGGCAAATTGAGGTCTCGTCAAGTTTCGAGCATGCTGCACATGCGGATCTCTCTACACGTCCTCCTCTTGGCATTTATGACGCAAGGGTAATTCCTGCCGCGGACACCACGGTGACGGCGACTGCCCGTGCGGCGCTTCCAGAATCTGCGGAGGATGCAACCGCACCTCAAAGCATGTCACTTGTCGAACAAGAAAGAGATTTGGGTATCGCGGCGGCATCGTCCTCAACGGCTCCATTAGCGACACTTCCGTTCGGGAGGGGGCTGGAGCTGAAGGTGGATAATGTGAAGACGCACAGCGAGGGTCCGATTCCCCTGCACCTGCAGCAGTTCCGTCGCACTCGTCGTGAGGCGGCGGAGTCTATCCTTCTTCCCCGTCACATCAACCATTTGTTTCACAAAATTATGGGTTGGACGGAAGACGCCGTGGAGGTGGATGCGGAGTCGGCGCCGCTTGGGGCCGCGGCCGACGCCACCGCGAAAGCAGGTGAGCTGCAACCTCAGTTGCAGAAGGATGCACCGCTTTTGCGCAAAAAATATGACGAACTCACCGATAAGATGAAATACGGTGTGCTGCTGGAGAGCTACGAAAAGGACAAGTTTGCGATTGAGCACCAGTTGGAGATTGCTGGTGAGCGGTTTGAGCGAAAGTTCCTGGAGTGGGAGGGAATGCACGTGCTGGACCAAGATTCCGCGGCCGCCATGCAAGGAGTGCTGGAAAACAAGAGTTCTATCGTCATGGATATGCCATCCTCCTTTCACATTCCTGTCGTGAACCGCGACTGCTGCAAAGGCTGTGGGGCACTTTTGCAGGACAAGGACGAGAATGCATTCGGATATGTGCGTCGTGGGGATGTGGAAAGGTACATCATGGACCGACAAGCCAAGATGAAGGCGCGGGCCGAGTACGCGGATCGCATGTCAGAACTACAAGCCCATTGGAAAAAACATGGCCGCCGCGTCGGGGAAGAGTGGCTGGACTTCATGACTCAGGAGGAGTTTGACGCCTTTTACAGGGACCAAAGCAAACCCTTTGTATGTCACCGCTGCCACGCATTGGAGAACCTCGGCGTCGAGGGACGCCGTCAGGTTTGGTCGGCCCCAGATTTCACAGAGAAGTTGCGGGCCCTGCGGGAAAAGAAGTGCGTGGTGGTGCTCGTTGTCGACATCACAGACTTTCCTGGAACGATGGTTTATGATCTTCCAGGTCTTATATCGATGAACAATGACGTTATTATAGCCGTAAATAAAATGGACTGCATTCGGAATCGTTCCTTTAACTATAGTCACAAAGACAGGGCCATTGCCGCCCGACTAGTAACTGAGCGGTATGTGCGTCAATGGGTGACGAGCATAGCTTTGCAGTTTGGTCTGCCTCGCCACCAGATAAAGGATGTTATTCCCATCTCTGCTAAACGTGGGTGGAATGTGGAGGCGCTTATTGCGGCCGTGGAAGGGGCATCGAATCTGAATCTGACGCGCCCGATAAAGCCCATGCCAACTTACTTTGTGGGGGTAGCAAATGTTGGTAAATCTTCTGTCATTAATGCCATCGCCCACAAACTTTACATACCAGTTCCACCGCACCCGGAAAGTCGTAAGATTTACTACACAAAGAAATCCAAAGATGGAACGGAATCAGTTTTTTGGCGCTGGTACACTCCTCCTGATGTAAATCAGGCGGAGATGATTGACATTCCCTCGCGCCATGACAAGAAGGCATCAAAGTTGCTGACTGTTTCTTCTCTTCCTGGAACTACGGTGGAGGCGAATGCGGTCCGTGTTTCGTTAACGAAGGGGGCACCAGGTGACGCAGCTTACCTGTTTGACACACCGGGGCTTCTTCCCCACTGGCATCATTCTTCTCCTCTGACCTTGCTGCAGATGCGCCGCACACTCATTCGCAAGTATCGGAATCCACAATGTTTTATACTGACGCCTGGAAACACCCTTTTGCTTAGTGGTTTGGCGGCCATCGATGTGGTGAAGGGGACATCGCGTGGGATGCTTTTTATGGTCTACACCTCTCAGAAGGTTCGCAGCGCTATTGTAAATACCGAGCGCTCTGATGAATTTTGGAAGGAACAACTTGGAAAGGCGCTGGATCCGCCTGGCTCATTGGAGCAGCTTGGTGATCTTCGTTTAACAGACTCTAAAAGCTACCTTTTTGAGTGCTACCCTCGACATCGTCGCCGTCCGAAGGCAGACGTGTACGTTTGTGGCATTGGTTGGACATCTTTTTGCGTGAATGAGGCATGTGACGTGGTACTTCGTGTGCGTACACTGCCGGGTGTTATCCATGGTGTGCGGGAGCCGCTGCGCTACAAGGACCTGCTGGCATTTCGCGGTTGGCCCAAGTTGAAGCGACGTTTCACTACGGCCGGTCTTCCCAATGAAGAGGGAGACTGGGAAGATTCCATCGCCACCGTTGTTCGTCTCACCGCCGGTGGGTCAGATAACGAAACAAATGCGACTGGCGTCAACAAAGGCGGGGAGGCACCGGGGGCGAAAGTGGTACGCAAGGCGATACTTCCGCGACATGTTGCTGCGTCAACGACGGCTTTTGACGCTGTGCTGGCGGATCTCACTTTGAATGGGAGTGTCATGCCCGCAAAGGGAGCGGACCCAGAGTAGTAAGCGGGGATCAAAGAAGTAAACACTCTTTTTTTTTTTCATCTTCTTTACTGCGGTAGTGTTCTCTACTGGGGCCGTATTTGGTGGCTGCTCTGTGTCTGTTTCCTGTTTTCTGAGGGCCCTTCTCCCTTCCCTGCCGCTCCCGGACTCACACACGTAGGCAAGTTGCGGGCATGGATCTGCCCACGCTGTCTTTTGGGGAAATTTGTTCCCACGCACACTCCCCCACTACCTGTCATTTTTGTTTTGTTTTGTTTTCATCTTTGTTTCTTCTTTTCGGCGTTGTAGCATCGTCAGACAGCGGTCACCTAAGCATTCTGTTTTTTTTTGTTTTATCCTTTCTCTGATCAACACACCTCTTACACATAAAGGAATATGGCCTTCGAAGCTATCGCCGGAAAGCTTGGAGCTTCCGTTTACATGCTTTGCGCCTGCATCGCATTCGTGTTCGTGTGTGTGGGGACGCCAACGGCGCAGTTCAGAGGAAGGGGATATCTGCACGGTGCCGACGTGTCGAAGCTATCCTGCGTATCGCTCTGGGGCATGAAAAATGATTGCACCAAAGACACCTACGATCTGCGTCCCGGCGACTTTGTCTGCCCCGACAGTGCTTCCCGCCTAAAGCAGGTATTTCAGGCCGGTGAGGCTTTCGCCATCATCTCAATTTTTGTAACACTTGCGTCTATCATTGCAGTTGGATATCATTTTTTCCGCTCTTCGTCGGTAGTACCGACAATGATTTTGGCTGTAGCCGGCGTTGTAACTATCCTGATTCCGTGGGCATGTATGGCTGCTGTGTACAACGGGAAAATGTGCGGATCCGCGTTCCGCACCAATTGGCAGAAGCAATGGAAGTACAGTGCTGCCTTTGGCTTGTATGTCGCTGGCTGGTGTTCCCAAGTGCTTGGTACGGTGTGCTTGATGGCGTTGTGATCCATGCGGGGGCGCGTTGACCCGGATTGTTTCCGTGTTCAAGTACACGTGGACAGCAAGCGACGGCGGGGACCTGCACGCCGTGCCAACGGGGGTGAGGGAAGCCGGCTTCTCTTGGTCCTAGCCAAAATGTAAAAACACTCAAGACGTTTATTTATTTATTTATTTATTATTATTATTATTATTTTTTTTCGTTGTGTATTTACCCTTTTTTCCCCTTTCTGCTTATCGCCGCTCTCTTCGCCGACCATTCCATCTTTGCCTGCTGGCTGTAGAAGATCAAATGTTGCATAAATGAATAAAAACGAGAGGCTTTCTTTCTATTGCCGCTGGCGACGCCTGCTATTGCGAGGCCGCTTCGTGGCAGCTGCGCCACCTCCGAGGTGTCGACGCTCCATCCGCGCCCTTTGCTTGGCGATGCACCCGCGCATATCCCGGCGTGGGTAGGTGGAGGTTGGACGCGCAGCAGAGTGATAGACCATGGGAACGTGAAAAATACAATAACAACAATAGCAACAACTCAAAAGGCACAGAGAGGGGAAAAATATATAAGAATGTGAATGACGGGGCTGCCTTTCTGCCTATAGTTTGTTGTTTCGGCCGATGTTGTCATGCATCATTTATCGCCCTTTTTTATTTTATTTTAATTCAGTGTGCGGGTTTATTTCTGTGTCTGTTTTTTTTGTTTATTTCGACGCTTCCTTCATTTTTTTTCTTTTTGGCTCCCCGCTCTCTCTGGCCAAAGCTCTGAGCTAATAATATGCGGCAGCTGCTGGGAACCAATTCCCTGCAAGCGGGGGGGGGGGGGAAGTGAGGAGTGGGCGGGGGGCACAGAGGGACAAGAGAAGACGCGTAGCGAACAATGGCGCCCGAAAGTGCAAAATCACCAACAAAAAAAAACAACAACAAGAACAAAAGCAACAACAAAACTTTCGTCGTGGTGACGCAAACAAACAAAAAAGACGAACAACTGCTAAAACGTGTCGGTGATGTCCTTATTTATGGGCCGGGATTGGGTTCATTGATGAAGTCCTCTCCCCTTTCCTCCACTCGCCTCCCTTCGATGTATCGGGACGCGCTTCTTTTTCCCCTCCACCCGCCCTCCAAATACTGCAGGCAACAATCGAGCCTTATATGCATGCTTTTTTTTTCCTTGGTCTTCTTCTCATCTTCTGTTCTCTACTGCAGTAGAGTTTCTGGCGCCTCCCCTCCTTTTATTCCCTATTCCTCATCCGGGTGTACATGCGTTTTCGCTTGTATTCATTGGTGTCGCCGGGGAGCACATAAGCAAACACACTGGGACACTTTCTTTTTGCCGTTTCGGCTGCGTGTGGTGGCTGTGAAGCGGCCTACGACCTGAGGGGGACTGTGCGAGTGAATTTATTTCCCTCTCTTTCTCCCCCGTGTGACTTTAAGTAATGAAACGGCGTGGTTGGATGTGCTCGACATTTCTTTTTTTGTTGCTGTTGTTGGGAACACCGTCGGCGCGCCGCCGTGGCTTTTGCCCGGCAAGGAGAGAGCGCGCTGCGGCGGCGCTGGAAGGTCGTTGGAGGTGCTGCGTGCGTGCACACACACACACGCACCCACACGCTGAAGTGGCGGCAGTGAAAGCGAACAGTAAGAGGTGGAGGGAATAAATTGTGGGAACCATGTATTCACTCGAGGCGAAGAAAAAGAAAAAGAAATCAGAAACTGAAGAACAAAAAAGTGAATAAATACAACGCGAAAAGGATCTTTATTATTATATGTGCAATGTAATAAAACGAAAAAGAGGGATTGCACGGTGTTGGGCACTGTGCTAATATGCGCGTATTGACTTTTTTTTTTTTGTTGCGCTAGAGAAGGAAAGGTGAGTCATTTTTCCTTTTTCATTTTTCCTTTTATTTTGTCCACCGCCTCTTTTGTGTATGCTTTTCGTATTTTTCTTGTATATGGGTTCACTTAAATGAATGTTTTTCTTTCTTTTTATTATCTGCAAACGTGGGAGCGTCATTGGTAGAAACCATCCTTCTATGGTGAGTGTAAGTGCAACGGGAGGAAGGCCAAATTGCGGAAAAAGCAACGGGCCACAAAGTGTGGCAGTCTGTCGCCTACTGTCACTTGACCCCACTTGCCTAACCCCCCCCCCCCCCCCCGTCCGCCACTTCCGTTCTTTTGCTCGCTTCCGCTGGCTGTGGGTCCTGTGGCTATGATGCTTCTTGCTGTCGTCGTCTCACCTCTCTTCGCTGCCTTCCATGTTCACTGCAGGATAGTCACAATTAGCCAAGCATAGTAGAGTAGCAAAACAGCGGCACCAGGGCGCACGAGCAAGGATCTTCAGCATTATTAGCGGAGCCCAAGTGGGACGAAAAGGAGAACTTGTTGTGTGAAGGATGGCGAAGAAGAAGAATTTCTTCGTGCGCGATTACAACAAGCACATTGGGGCAACAGTGTTGCTTGTTGCTTGCATGCTGAGTTTCATGTTCATGGTTATTGGCACCCCGCTCGGTGTACTCAAGCCAAAGGAAGCAACAAATGTCTGCTACACTCTTTGGGGCACGCGGAAGTGCGACAGTCCTAATTACGACTGGCGTGTTAACTTTGACAATTGCACTGTCAGACGCGTGAGGTTTCACTTCGCCGAAGCGTTCAGCATTATTGCCATGTTCTTCAACGTATTGACTGGTATTGCTTGCTGGTATTGCATCAGTGGGTCTAATGCGAAGTGGTGGACCGTACTTGTTGCCGTGATTAGCATCGCCTCGAGCCTCGTGACGTGGAGCGTGGTTTCTGCCTTGTATTACTCTTCGTTCTGTGGCAGTGACACCTACACGCATAAGCACACAAAATACGGCCCTGGATTTGCCCTCATCGTGACGGCCTTCGCATTGGACTGCTGCGGTCTCGTCTGCTTCCTCGTCCTCGGGTAGAAACAAAGACAAAAACAGTAGCTACAATGTAAACACAAGGGAAGGCCCATGAGCAGAGAATGAGGGCATGTGACGCGTGTGCATGCATGCCTGGATGCATTTGTGCCAGTTCCGCGTGAGGGAGATGTAGATCGGTTTCTGTCCCACACACACAAACGCAGGCACTGGACAGCAAGGTGCTGGACCGCATATCTACGTGTCTACCCATGTACTAGGCTGAATAACGAGCGAAACACACTTACCGCGTTCGTAACTTTGTGTTTCTTATATTTATCATTGTATTCTGTGTCTGTGTCTGTGTCTGTGTCTCTGTGTGTGTGAGTGGTGAGGGAGATGGCGGGGAGGTAATTGTTTTTTTTTTGGATTATGTGCCCGCCACTAACTTGTAGAGGTCGTTTTATCGCTCGCATATTTTGACCAACACCAATTGACGACAAAGACCGTGGCCCTTAAAATTGGTTGCGACTATTTATTTATTTACGGTTGCTGATGCTGAGAAGTTGCTCAAAAGCCACACGGTGGAGTAGTGAAGCCACGCAAATAATTTACTGCCGTGTGGAGCGAAGACTGGTATGGCGCATGCGCGTACGCCTCTAGTTATATGTATGCATGCAGCTTCAGTCCCTATTGATGTAACCACATGCCAATTGTAGAAGTCATTCGGATGCATACACCCCCGCGCGCGCGCGCACACACACACACACAAGTATGTATGCATCGGTGGGGGGAGTGGGGCACACATACACACGCAAAGATATGTATATATGTATATTTATACATATACATATATATATATATATATGCCGCCTTCTTTTTCTTTTTTTGTTTGTTTGTTTAACGGCCCCTCGTCAAATAACGTTAACAACCTTTGAAGAAAGCACAACGGAAACGGTGAAGAAGAAGAGAAAAAAAAATATATGAGGCGAGGAGTAGATGTTAATGTTGATTGTGAGATCACAACTGAAGCCAGAAGGGGGAATCAATGTGAAAAGCGGGGAGTAAGAATCTTGGGAAGTTATTATTATTATTATTTTTTTTCATGACTGAAAAGCTCTGAAGAAGAAGGTTGCCCCCTGCCTTTTTACGTGCACTGAGCTGCGGGCGCGGCAGCGTGACACCTTTCCTGTCTGCATCTCTGCCGATAACGTCGTAGGTTGGACGAAAATTCGGATGCAGCCACCACCAACCTAGATATATATATCAGCTATTTTTCCGTGTGTGACCCTGTCTTTCTCTCTGCTTCCTCTGTTATTTACTTCTTTATTGTGTGTCCTTTATGCAAAAAAAAACAACACTTTTTTTTTTATATAGTTCTGGCTCCCGGTTTTTATTCCTTCTCCCTTCTTCACAGCCACGTCCCCCCCTCCCCCCCCGCTAAGGGGCGTCGGAGGAGGAGTTTACGCTGCGGCGGAGTTGTCTGTGGAGGAAGAAGTCAAGGGGAAGAGAGAGGGAGTGGTGGCCACGGAATAAACGAAGAAAGCTGATGAATGCACGAAGAAGGCAGACGAATACGCGTGAAATGGAACGAATTCATGTATATATATATATATATCTCCCTTTGCGTGTGTGTGTGTGTTGGTACTGCGACGTTGTATTACCGCCGCGATTCACTGTACGCAATTCAGTGCGCCGGTCCCTATGGGGTGGAGGGGCGGGGGACGGAGGGAGTCCCCACCCGCACCGGGGGAGGATGAAATAATGGGGGTGAAGCGAGACGCGCTAGGTGAGATGGCAATAAAAGAGGGGATAAGGTAAATGAATGAGGAATAGAGAAGCGTTTGAGGTTTGTTGGGCGGAGAGGAAGGCAAGGAGCAGATAAGGAATAATACAAGGAAACGAGCGAGCAAAGTGGGGGGGGGGGGGGGAGAATGAGAAAAAGAAGACAACAACAAAACAAACCAACACCACAGAGGGAGTGGCGTCTATTTGTACGGAGGGTTTAAACACCAGCTTTTGCACCGTGGGCAGCGAAGAAGAAAGGTAGTTGTCATTGATGAACCACCTCCTTTCAAAGATTTATTATTGAGTTGCTATTTATTTTTCCCTTTTTGGGCGTTTTTCTTCTCCTTCTTCTTTTACCGGATGGCACGGGCACACGTGTGTATTTGGCTGTCGAGTTGCCTAGGAACAAACTTTAGGTTGTGGGTCTGAAGTTCTTTAAGATGCCCGAAGAAAACGAAAATAAGGTCGTGCTGATCACGGGGGGCTCTGGCTTTATCGGCAGCCATGTTGTTGACCGTGCACTGTGTGAGGGATACACTGTTGTTGTTGTGGATAACCTTTACACTGGCAAGGAGCAGAACATTGCTCATCACCTTGGCAAGGCAAATTTCTTTTTTGTAAAGCACGACGTGCGTTATCCATACCCCGAGGCGGTTCTGCGGCATAAATATGGCTACATCTTTCACCTGGCCTGCCCAGCGTCCCCAGTGCATTACCAGGCCGATCCAATTGGTACGACGCTTACATGCGTCAATGGGACGTATCACACACTGCTTCTTGCAGAGCGGGACGCATGCCCAATACTTGTTGCCTCCACTTCGGAGGTGTACGGCGACCCACTGCAGCACCCACAGAAGGAAGAATATTGGGGCAATGTGAAATGCAATGGAGTGAGAAGCTGCTACGATGAGGGGAAACGGTGTGCCGAATCACTATGTTTTGATTTCCACAGAAAACATGGAGTAAAAGTTCGTGTGGCCCGGATTTTTAATACATACGGTCCCCGCATGTGCTTCAACGACGGCCGGATTGTTAGCAACTTCCTTGTACAGGCCCTTCGGGGGGAAGATATTACGGTGTATGGGACAGGCGAGCATACTCGCTCGTTTCAATACTGCGATGACCTCATAGAGGGATTTTTTCGCCTCATTCGACACCCAACCGAGACTGGACCCGTGAATTTGGGGAATCCAGACGAGTACACCGTGCTGGATATGGCAAAAAAGGTTCGCGATCTTGTGCCTGGAACAAAGTCAAACATTCTCTTTCTTCCCCCCTCCGCAGACGACCCAAAGCACCGACGCCCAGACATCAGCAAGGCGAAACGTGTGCTGGAGTGGGAGCCCGTCGTGTTGCTTTCAGAGGGTCTAAAGCGCACGGCAGAGGACTTTGCGGCACGTGTGAGCCGTGGAGAGTAATACATGCATGCGTGCATACATCGTGGCATGGGAACGAAGATGGTTCAGTGGAGTGGCGTAATCGACAAATACATTAACAGGGCAGTTGGGGATGTTTTCAAAAGGCGTGGCAGAATATTACCAATGGCAGGGGAAAAAAAAGGAAAATAAAATCATGAGTAGATAAAGCAAAATAAAAAAAACTTTATTTGATGCGTTTGATGGGAATTGAGGCTCATAATAGGGAGTGAAATTAGATTGGCAACGACGAACTCTCCCCCTGTGGTCTGACTCTTGTGGTTGGAACTATTATGAGCCACGCACATATATATATATATATATATATGCATCCTGCATGACACTACCCTCTAGGGGATTAGAGCGTTGCATTCTGTGCGTGTTTCTCGGAATTGGTGTGCAAGGGCGTCTCTCTTTAGTATATATATTTTTTGTTTTATTTTAGCTTTGGCTATTTATGTGGCCATGTAGAACCTGAGAAATTTCATGGACTTCTTTACTTTTTTTTTTCCAATGTTGGCTGTTTTTTTTTATTTATTTTCAAACACAAATTCACATCTCTTAGCAACTTCTACAAAATAAGCAAACCATGTCTCGCTCTGCGAAGCTGTATGTGCAGTGTAATCCGTTGCTTGATGTTTCGGCAGTGGTGCCAGAAGAATTCATGGTGAAGTATGGGGTGGAGCACGGTTCTGCCTCGCTTTTGGCGGAGGAACAAGCTGAAATTTTTGCGGATCTTGAAAAACTGCCAGCAGTAAAGCATGTACCTGGCGGATCCGGACTGAATACCGCTCGAGTAACACAGTGGATGCTGCAGGCCCCGAAAGGGTCTTTAGTCTCGTATGTGGGTTGTATTGCAAATGATCGCTACGGCAATATTCTCAAGGAGTCTGCGGAAAAGGACGGTGTTAACATGGTGGTTGAGTATACGACAAAACAACCAACCGGCAGCTGTGCAGTCTGCATTACAGGGAAGGAGCGTTCACTTGTGGCAAACCTTGCTGCCGCAAACTGTCTTTCTGCCGATCACGTTTATTCTCCTGCGGTAGAGAAATGCCGTGCGGAGGCCAGCTTCTTCTACTTGACAGGTTTTACCCTCACCATTGATGTGGCCTATGTTCTGCACGTGGCAAAGCAGGCGCGTGAAGTGGGCGGAATATTTATGATGAATTTTTCGGCCCCGTTTCTTATCGAGTTCTTCGGGGAGCAGCTCAACCAGGTGTTGCCTTATGTGGACGTCTTATTTGGCAACGAGTTGGAGGCGAGGACGCTCTCCATTGTCAAGGGGTGGGGCATAGAGGATGTGGAAGAGATCGCGAAACGAGCGGCGCAGGAGCTCCCGTACACTGGGACGAAGGGTCGTCTTGTTGTCTTTACACATGGACCGAACCCCACTGTCTGTGTCACGAAGGATGGTGTGACCGTGGTGCCTGTGGAACCCCTCGCTGAAGACAAAATGGTCGACTTCAACGCTGCTGGAGACGCCTTTGTGGGTGGGTTCTTGTCTGGCTACGTTCTTGGGAGGGACCTGAGACGCTGCTGCATTCTTGGCCACTACGCGGCAGGGGTGGTGATTCAGCACGACGGCTGCACGTATCCCGAGAAGCCAAGCCTTACTCCATGACAAGGTGTAGGGAAGTGAGAGGGGCCGTACCGGACTTTTTTTGTTTCCCTTCATCTGCCTGTTTTGGACGCCGGACAGATCTGTCGCCGCACACGGAGTCTGTGCTTGCGTGTGAAGATGAAGTTTGAGGCAAAAAAAAAGAGACATAAAATTATACGTAAAAAGAAAAGAAGCGA